TCAGGAGATACAAACGAGGCAGCAGGTTGATCACATCTCCATCTGATCCCTGGCTGTACATTCTAGACCTTCACAATGCAGAGTGATCTATTCATCATCATCAAACCTCTGCACTATTTTCAGAGGCTCAGTGTCAGCCTTTGCAGCAGCTGAGCCTGTGGAGAAGAAGGGAAGGAGTTTCCCTTCCCGGCTGCTGCCATCAGCAATGGTGAAAGTGTACAGAGCTGCTTTCTTACGGACATTGTAAAACAACAGCTGCTTGGCTGAGATGTCCAGGAAGATCCCAATCTTTGGCAGCTTCCCACCCACACTCAAACGGGTCCAAGGCTCTGTGAAGGCCCAATACTCTCGCCCATCTGTACACCCCATGACCCAGAAGCCATTCTTTGGAGACAGAGTCAATGTCCCTTTGCGTGTCACAGATTCTCGGGCAATACCCAAGGCCCAGCTGCTTCTCTTGCCAACATCCACTTCCCAGTAGTGTCTCCCAGATGTGTATCCTTCCTTTGCCAACACATAAAGGTGGGAATCAAATCTCTTCTCATTCCTGGGCACAGTTCTTATGGTGCCGGTATCTTTCACACTCTTCCCATTGTCAGAGATTTCCAATCTGGGGTGGGCCGTGTCAGGATCCAGGGAGACATCCTCTGCAATGATCAAGTCAGGCCATAAGGAGCAGAAAAGACAAGGTCTGCTTCTCTGACACTTTCTCTTCTGCGTCCTCCTCCACCTCTCACTATTCCTTCCTCCACCTCCATATTTGCGTGCACCAGGCAGCCTCTTGCCTCACAGGACCTCTATCTTCTCCCTTCCCATCCCTCCCACATCCCTCCATTCCCATCCAGGGCTGCTGACTTAGTGAGTGACCAGGCTGCATACAGCAAAGGACAGGACCTCAGCCAATGTTCCTGTGACTCCAGCCTTCTGCACCAAGGAGGAGGCTGTGGAGCTGAATGCCCTCTCCCTCCATCTTTGAATTTTTGTGGGAATGGCCTGAGGAAAATGACTGGGAGTGGACCAGGCAGCTCCTCTTTGGGCAACGCCAGGATCAAAATTGACTTTTCCAAGACGATTGAGCAAATACTGTTCAATAACAAAAACTATTTGACAAAATAAAATTGGCCAAAGTAAATTCTCTATGATTGATAGAAACTGAAGAGGAAGCTGGTCAGATAATTGATCAGCCCTGCATCATATGAAACCCACCTGGAAATAAATTCAGACACTCACTTATAAGATATAAATACTGAAAACAAAGACACAAATCTTTCAGTATCTTTGCTTAAAACTCATGTACGGGAAGAGAGCCCATTAGGAGTGATGGTTGAGGAAGTGCAAATGTTTGGGGAGGGGCGGGGTGGGGGAGAGGCCAGGGCGGGAAACAGGGAGAGCACGCTCCCTAACCCATGGTGTATGCAGGTATAATGTATGACAAAATAGAGGTACCCCAGCTGGAATTTCATTTGGGTGTCATGATTAACTCCTTAGCAAAGTTGGAAGATGATTTTCAAACTTTAAAGATGATTTTCAAACTTTAAATTCTCCTCAATAACTAGGACAGCACCAGTCCAGGGTGCTTCTTTCACATGGGTTAGAATGGAAGAGTGATCTTCACTGCCAGTGATGAGTAAATGGTTCTTTCCTCACTTTACCCAACTCATCAATGTAAGAAACACCTGACACTGAACCAGCAAGGTGCAATGTTGTGAACTAAGGTCTTGTAGCTCAGCTCAGATTTACAGAAGAAGAGGTTGCTCCTGTAGTGGAGAAACATCAGCTCAAGACCCTTTTCCTGAAACACCAAAAGGGCAACACCAGGAGTGGGAGCCAGGAGCTGAAGTGGCCAATGCAAGCTGGTCATCCCTGCTCCCCACAGCTAAAATGGCTCCTGCCAGACATACACAGGGTCTTTGGCAGCACACAACAAAGAGAACAGTTATCACGCAATCCTTCCTCTGAGGGGTTTGCTCTTCAACCAGCTATCTGAGCTTGTCAGATACTTTTTTGAGGACCACACTCAGACTCAGAGTACTCACATGCATCATCTCCCTTTTGCTTACCTTTGTAGCGCTGCATTTTGAAAAGCTCTGTGGGAAAAAGAAAAAAACAGGCAATAGGTGCATTTGCCAAGCATGATACTCTCCTGTGTACTAAGAAACAGCTTACGCTGCTGACCAAGGAGACTGTGTTCTCCCGTAATAACGTGCTTGTTCTGTAAGTTGGAAAAGACATCAAAAGGCCTGGTGCCATCCTCCAAAGAGAGCAAGGCCTGAGGTGACCAGAATGCTCAGTCTTTTAGCAGCAAAGATTGTAACAAGATCCAGAACATAGGTAGGAACTCTGGAGCAGTAAAAAGAAGATGCTATGCTGATGGCAAGGGAAAAGGGATAGAGAGACTATTGAAGGAGGCATCTCTGGTTTGCCGTACGGTGTGAAGAGTTCAAAGCACTTTATTGGAGCCATGTACAGGTGGGACTTTCCCCTTAGAAAAGAACAACAAGAAGCTGAACTTTTTTCCCTGCCCAGGAGGACCCAGCCCCAGAGCACACTGGAGCATGAACGGTGCAGTTCATGAGCTGTTTAATCAGGAAGGGGACACAGCCCAGGGCAAGATGGTGGTGGTATCTCAGAAGACAAACCAGCATGGATTGGGCACTCCTGAGTCAGGGGCAGGAGAACAGGGCTTGCCTAAGGGCTGAGCCGGGTGGGCAGGACGGAAGGGTGAAATCACACCTCTCCATCTTTCCTGCCAGAAGGGATGGGTTGTAGAAGAGGAGTGGCTTGGTCAAGAGGAATGTGAGTGGGTAAAGGAAAGAGATGGAGGCAAGACTTGGAGGTGGACACATTCTCCACACCTGCGAGTCACAGGGGCCCATGGTACTCACTCCCTTAAAAAAAAAGGGAGAGAAGACAGACCTTGACAACCCTCATTCAACACCTTTGTAGTGACGTGTCTCACTGCTGCAGTATGTGAGCTACTTGCCAAGAAGGGTCTCTCCAAACCCTTCTGTGTTCAGGAGGTGCAGAGGCCTCGCAAGCGGGACGGTTTGTCTGTAGATGAGCTAAATCTACAAACAGATGGAGGTCTTCTTGGCAATGGCTATGCTCACCTAATTGGCGCTCCATGTCTGCTCTCAGGATATCCAGGTGCTCTTCTGTGGACCCCTGCATGTTCTGAACAGCTGTTTCCTGTGTTTGTATTTGCTGAGAGATCTGCTGGAGGTCCTTCTCTCGAAAGGAATCCGGGGCCCTTGCTGTGCTTGCTTCAGTCATCCTTCCTGTGAAGAAAGACCGGTGCCCTGTGAGCCTTCCTGAAGGCTCGACAACTGACAGCTGCACAGAACAATGGCCTGGGATCAACCCCGCCATCTTCCCTCCCTGCATCGGGGAGCTGTCAGAGACAAGACTGTTGGTCATAAGGAAGGTGAATGGAAAGAGCAAGAGAGAGATGGAGGTAGCGCTTGGAGGTAGACACCATCACCTCTTCTCAGTGTCACTGAGAGCCCGTGGTATGCACTCCCTTCCAAGACGAGGGAAAGAAGAGGGACCCTGACCCCCTGCAGTTGACACTAGGAGATTTCTCAGGACACAGGACACGAGGTACTTGCAAAGTAAGATCTGTCCAACCCCAAGCATAACGAGGAGACACAGAATGGTAGTTCAAGGAACAGTAGAGAGATATATATGAACAAGCATTTTCCTACAGAGAGGTGAAGGCCTTCTTGTCCATGGCTGTGCTCACCAAATTGGCGATCCATGTCAGCTCTGAGGTTCTCCAGGTCCTGCTGTGTTAACCTCGACATGTTCTGAAAAGCTGTCTGCAGCATCTGTATTTGCTGAGAGATCTGCTGGAGGGCCTTCTCTCCAAAGGAATCCAGGGCCTTTGCTGTGTTTGCTTCCACTGTCCTTCCTGTGAAGAAAGACCAGTGTCAGTGGGACAATGATCTTACCTCCTCTGAGGTGAGGCATTTTACTGCATTTGGCACAAGGCCTTTCCTGTTAGAAATCATAACCAACGACCAAGAAGCAGCTGAACTTGTTTCACTGCCCACGAGGAGCCAGCCCCAGAGCCCACTGGGGCACCAACGGTGCTGGTCATTATGATTTTTTTCGTGGAAAAAGACACTCTCCGAGGCAAGATGGTGGTGGCAGTTCAGAAGTCACACCAGCACTCATTGGGCAGTCCTGAGGCAGGGGCAGGAGAGCAGGGCTTGCCCAAGGGCTGAGACCAAGCTTCCTCCCTCCAGCTCTAACTCTGGGCCTTTCCCCCTGCCCCAATCCTGCCCTCCCTCAGGCGTGCACCTCCCAGGCGCTAAGGGCACATGGGCTCTGGGGAAGTGGGAAGAGCCTTCCGCCTCCATTCGACTGCTTTGGACAGCTTGAGTGCTGGAGGAATGGGAAAGAGCACGGGCCCTGTGAGCCTTCCTGAAGGCTTGACGAATGACAGCTGGACAGAACAATGGCCTGGGATCAGCCTCTCCATCTTCCCTCCCTGCATTGGGGAGCTGTCAGAGACAAGGCTGTTGGTCATGAGGAAGGTGAATGGACACAGCGAGAGAGAGATGGAGGGAGCACTTGGAGGTAGACACCATCACCTCTTCTCAGTGTCACTGAGAGCCCGTGGTATGCACTCCCTTCAAAGACGAGGGAAAGAAGAGGGACCCTGACCCCCTGCAGTTGACACTAGGAGATTTCTCAGGGACACAGGACACGAGGTACTTGCAAAGTAAGATCTGTCCAACCCCAAGCATAATCAGGAGACACAGAATGGTAGTTCAAGGAACAGATAGAGATATATATATGAGCAAGCATTTTCCTTCAGAGAGGTGCAGACTTTCTTGTCAATGGCTGTGCTCACCAAATTGGTTCCCCATATTGGCTTTGAGATTCTCCAGGTCCTGCTGTGTTAACCTCGGCATGTTCTGAAAAGCTGTCTGCAGCATTTCCATTTGCTGATAGAACTGCTGGAGGTCCTTCTCTCGAAAGGAATCAAGGGCCCTTGCTGTGTTTGCTTCCACCATCCTTCCTGTGAAGAATGACCAGTGTCAGTGGGACAATGATCTTACCTCCTCTGAGGTGAGGCATTTTACTGCATTTGGCACAAGGCCTTTCCTGTTAGAACCAAGAACCAAAGACCAAGAAGCAGCTGAACTTGTTTCACTGCCCACGAGGACCCAGCCCCAGAGCCCATTGGGGCATCAACGGTGCTGATTATATCATTTTTTTCGTGGAAAAAGACACTCTCCGAGGCAAGATGGTGGTGGCAGTTCAGAAGGCACACCAGCACTCATTGGGCAGTCCTGAGGCAGGGGCAGGAGAGCAGGGCTTGCCCAAGGGCTGAGACCAAGCTTCCTCCCTCCAGCTCAAACTCTGGGCCTTTCCCCCTGCCCCAATCCTGCCCTCCCTCAGGCGTGCACCTCCCAGGCGCTAAGGGCACATGGGCTCTGGGGAAGTGGGAAGAGCCTTCCACCTCCATTTGACAGTTTTGGACACCTTGAGTGCTGGAGGATTGGGAAAGAGCACTAGCCTTGTGTGCCTTCCTGTAGGCCCTGATGAATTTTCAAAGGCCAGGTGGGCAGGACAGAAGGGTGACATCAGACCTCTCCATCTTTCCTGCCAACAGGACTGGCTTGTAGAATAGGAATGGCTTGGTCATGAGGAACAGGAGTGGCAAAAAGAAAAAGATGGAGGCAAGACTTGGAGGCGGACATCTTCTCCACACCTTGCAGAAATAGGGGCCTGTGGTACTCACTCCCTTAAAAAAAAAAGGGAGAGAAGAGTGACCATGTCAGCACACATTCAACACCTTTGTGTTGACGTGTCTCACTGCTCAAATACGTGAGCTACTCGCCAAGAAAGGTCTCTCCAACCCCTTCTGTCTTCAGGAGGTGCGGAGGCCTAGTAAGCGGGACTGTTTGTCTGTAGATGAACCTTATCCATCAGACAGGTGAAGGCCTGCTTGGCAATGGCTCTGCTCACCTAATTGGTTCTCCATGTCTGTTCTCAGGATCTCCAGGTGCTGCTCTGTGGACCCCTGCATGTTCTGCAAAACTGTCTGCAGAGCTTGAACTTTTTCAGAAATGTCCTGGAGCTCTTTCTCTCGAAAGGAATCCGGGCCCCGTTGGGTGCTTGTCTCCACTGTCCTTCCTGTGAAGAAAGACCAATGTCACTGGCACAATGACCTTGCCTGCCCTGAGGTGAGGCATTGTCCCACTTATGGCTCAGGGCCTTTCTTTCCCAGAAAGAACCAAAAAACAGCTGAACTTGTTTCACTCTCCAGGAGGACCCAGGATGTCACTGGCACAATGACCTTGCCTGCCCTGAGGTGAGGCATTGTCCCACTTATGGCTCAGGGCCTTTCTTTCCCAGAAAGAACCAAAAAACAGCTGAACTTGTTTCACTCTCCAGGAGGACCCAGGCCCAGAGCCCATTGGAGCAGGAACGGTGCAGGTCATTACTATTTTCTTCCTGGAAAATGACACTCTCCAAGGCAAGATGTTGCTGGCAGCTGAGAAGCCAGACCAGCATGGACTGGGCAATCCTGAGGCAGGGGCAGGAGAGCAGGGCTTGCCCTAGGGCTGAGCCCAAGCTTCCTTCCTCCAGCTCGAACTCTGGCCCTTTCCCCCTGCCCGAATCCTGCCCTCCCTCCGGCGTGCACCTCCCAGGCGCTAAGGGCACATGGGCTCTGGGGAAGTGGGAAGAGCCTTCCAACTCCAGTCACTTGCTTTGGACAGCTTGAGAGCTGGAGGGATAGGGAAAGAGCACAGGCCCTTTGTGCCTTCCTGAAGGCCCTGAAGTCTTCTCAAGGGCCAGGTGGGCAGGTCGGAAGGGTGAAATCACACCTCTCCATCTTTCCTGCCAACAGGGCTGGCTTGTAGTAGATGAGTGGCTTGGTCAAGAGGAATGGGAGGGGGAAAAAGGAAAGAGATGGAGGCAAGACTTGGAGGCGGACACCTTCTCCAGAAACAGGGGCCTGTGGTACTCACTCCCTTCAAAAACCAGGGAAAGAAGTGTGACCATGTCAGCACGCATTCAACACCTTTCTGTTGACGTGTCTCCCTGCTCAAGTATGTGAGCTACTCGCCAAGAAAGGTCTCTCCAATCCCTTCCGTCTTCAGGAGGTGCGGAGGCCTAGCAAGCAGGACTGTTTGTCTGTAGATGAGCCTAATCCATCAGACAGGTGAAGGCCTGCTTGGCAATGGCTCTGCTCACCTAATTGGTTCTCCATGTCTGTTCTCAGGATCTCCAGGTGCTGCTCTGTGGACCCCTGCATGTTCTGCAAATCTGTCTGCAGTGCTTGCACTTGTTGAGAGATCTGCTGGAGATACTTTTCTCGAAAGGATTCTAGAGCTCGTGTGATGTTTGCCTCCACTGTCCTTCCTGTGAAGAAAGACCAGTGTCAATGGGATCTTGCCTGCCCGGAGGTGAGGCCTTGTCCCTCTTATTGCTCGGGGCCTTTCCTTCTAGAAAGGAATAAGAAGAAGCAGATTTTTTTTTGCTCCCCAGGAGGACCCTGCCCCAGAGCCCATTGGAGCAGGAACGGTGCAGGTCATGACATTTTTTTTTCCCCGGAAAAAGACACTCTCCAAGGCAAGATGTTGCTGGCAGCTGAGAAGCCAAACCAGCATGGACTGGTTACTCCTGAGGCAGGGGCAGGAGAGCAGGGCTTGCACTAGGGCTGGGACCAAGCTTCCTTCCTCCAACTCTAACTCTGGCCCTTTCCCCCTGCCCGAATCCTGCCCTCCCTCCGGCGTGCACCTCCCAGGCGCTAAGGGCATATGGGCTCTGGGGAAGTGGGAAGAGCCATCCAGCTCTTTCCAGTTGCTGTGGTAGCTTCAGTGTCGGAAGGCTGGGGAAAGATCAGGGCCCTGTGTGCCTTCCTGAAGACCCTGAATCCTTCTCAAAGGCCAGGTGGGCAGGTCGGAAGGGTGAAATCACACCTCTCCATCTTTCCTGCCAACAGGGCTGGCTTGTAGAAGATGAGTGGCTTGGTCAAGAGGAACGGGAGTGGGAAAAAGGAAAGAGATGGAGGCAAGACTTGGAGGCGGACACCTTCTCCACACCTTGCAGAAACAGGGGCCTGTGGTACTCACTCCCTTCAAAAAACCAGGGAGAGAAGAGCGACCATGTCAGCACGCATTCTACACCTTTCTGTTGACAGGTCTCCCTGCTCAAGTACGTGAGCTACTTGCCAAGAAAGGTCTCTCCAATCCCTTTCATCTTCAGGAGGTGTGGAGGCCTAGCGAGCGGGACTGTAGATGAGCCTAATCCATCAGACAGGTGAAGGCCTGCTTGGCAATGGCTCTGCTCACCTAATTGGTTCTCCATGTCTGCTCTCAGGATCTCCAGGTGCTGCTCTGGAGACCTCTGATTGTCCTGCAAACCTGTCCGCAGTGCTTGCACTTGTTGAGAAATCCGTTGGAGGTCCTTTTCTCGAAAGGAATTCAGGGCCCGTTTGATGTTTGTCTGCACTGTCCTTCCTGTGAAGAAAGACCTGTGTCACCGGGACCTTGCCTGGCCTGAGGTGTACCTTTGTCCCACTTATGGCAGCTTGAGTGCTGGAGGGAATGGGAAAGAGCGCAGGCCCTGTGTGCCTTCGTGAAGACTTGTCAAAGAACAGTTGGACAGAATGATGGCCTGGATTCTCCCCCCTCCATCTTCCCAGCCGGCACTGGGGAGCTGTGGGAGACAAGACTCTTGGTCATGAGGAAGATGAATGGACAAAGCGAGAGAGAGGGATGCAGGACTTGGAGGTACACACCGTCAGCCTTTCTCAGCATCACAGAGAGCCCATGGTACTCTCTCCCTTCAAAGATGAGGGAGAGAAGAGGGACCTTGGCCCCCAGCAGTTGACGCCAGGAGATTTCTCACTGACACAGGACACGAGCTACTTGTTAAGTAAGGGCTGTCCAACCCCTTCCACCTTCAGTAGGTGCGGAGGCTTAGCAAGTGGGACTGTTTGTCTGTAGATGAGCTACATCCATCAGACAGGTGAAGGCCTGCTTGGCAATGGCTCTGCTCACCTAATTGGTTCTCCATGTCTGCTCTCAGGATCTCCACGTGCTGCTCTCTGGACCCCTGCATGTTCTGCAAAACTGTCTGCAGAGCTTGCATTTTTTCAGAAATCTGCTGGAGGTCCTTCTCTCGAAAGGATTCCAGGGCCCCTTTGATGTTTGCCTCCACTGTCCTTCCTGTAAAGAAAGACCAATGTCACTGGTACAATGACCTTGCCTGCCCTGAGGTGAGGCATTGTCCCACTTATGGCTCAAGGTCTTTCCTCCCAGACGGAACCAAAAAGCAGCTGAACTTCTTTCACTCTCCAGAAGGACCCAGCCCCAGAGCCCATTGGAGCAGGAACGGTGCAGGTCATTACTATTTTCTTCCTGGAAAATGACACTCTCCAAGGCAAGATGTTGCTGGCAGCTGAGAAGCCAGACCAGCATGGACTGGTTACTCCTGAGACAGGGGCAGGAGAGCAGGGCTTGCCCTAGGGCTGAGCCCAAGCTTCTTTCCTCCAGCTCGAACTCTGGCCCTTTCCCCCTGCCCGAATCCTGCCCTCCCTCTGGCGTGCACCTCCCAGGCGCTAAGGGCACATGGGCTCTGGGGAAGTGGGAAGAGCCTTCCAACTCCAGTCACTTGCTTTGGACAGCTTGAGTGCTGGAGGGATGGGGAAAAAGTGCAGGCCCTGTGTGCGTTCCTGAAGGCCCTGAAGCCTTCTCAAGGGCTAGGTAGGCAGGACGGAAGGGTGAAATCACACCTCTCCATCTTTCCTGCCAACAGGGCTGGCTTGTAGAAGAGGAATGACTTGGTCATGACGAATGTGAGTAGGTAAAAGGAAAGAGATGGGGGCAAGACTTGGAGGTGGACACCATCTCCACACTTTGGAGGCACAGGGGCCTATGGTACTCACTCCCTTCACAAACCAGGGAGAGAAGAGCGACCATGTCAGCATGCATTCAACACCTTTCTATTGACGTGTCTCCCTGCTCAAGTTGGTGAGCTACTCGCCAAGAAAGGTCTCTCCAACCCCTTCCCTCTTCAGGAGGTGCGGAGGCTTAGCAAGTGGGACTGTTTGTCTGTAGATGAGCTACATCCATCAGACAGGTGAAGGCCTGCTTGGCAATGGCTCTGCTCACCTAATTGGTTCTCCATGTCTGCTCTCAGGATCTCCAGGTGCTGCTCTGTGGACCCCTGCATGTTCTGCAAAACTGTCTGCAGAGCTTGCATTTTTTCAGAAATCTGCTGGAGGTCCTTCTCTCGAAAGGATTCCAGGGCCCCTTTGATGTTTGCCTCCACTGTCCTTCCTGTAAAGAAAGACCAATGTCACTGGTACAATGACCTTGCCTGCCCTGAGGTGAGGCATTGTCCCACTTATGGCTCAAGGTCTTTCCTCCCAGAAGGAACCAAAAAGCAGCTGAACTTGTTTCACTCTCCAGGAGGACCCAAGCCCAGATCCCACTGGAGCAGGAACATTGTTCTGTCAAGCATCCCACCTGGAAAGAGCAGGGGCAGGGAAACAACCTGTTTTAGATCCTAGAGAGGAAGGGATTCAATAGAGTCCAGGCTGCCCTGGTCTGAGCTGGGAAAAGCGCGCTGCCTGGGCAGCTCTGCACACTGGTAGCCTGGGGACCAGGACATCTGCATGGGGATATTCAAAATGACAAAGGACTTGCTGGAGGCCTTTGGAAGTGGGAATTTCTGGAAACATGAGATTGTTTCATCTCACTGGATCATGCCCTCATCCAGGATATGCTTCACTGTTTTAATAATGCTAAGGAGGTTTTTGTTCGCAGGCTGTGTGGAGCAATCCTGGCAATCAGCTGCATGGAAGGGAATATTCCTTTTGACCCTCAATGAAAGGTCTGGATTTTCTAAGTGCAAGACTGCAAGAGAGTTTAGGATGACAAACCCACACTTGAAGTCAAAGAGTGAAAAGGGATCCTAGAAGTGACATGCCATTCCCTCAAATTCAGCTGAGCCCAATCTTTTGGTATGCCGTAACCACCACTTACCTATCACCAGTCTTTCTTGGTCTCCTTCCCCTTTGTTCTGCTGTGACCAGTGTTCCTGAACTCGCCCAAAGGAATCTGCTCCTCGTCCCTGCTGCAGGGAATGCTCTCCCCCATGCATGGGGCCTGTAGAAAGAAGCCAGGACACCAAGGTAACCTCTTATCTGCAAGCACAAGGATCTCATGCCCAGGTGGTGAACGTCAGTGCAGTGGCAAAAAACCTTCCTGTCTTCCAGGAAAAGGCATGACATTAGGAAAGAGCCTAGGGAATGGTCATCACAAGACATCACCAAGGGAAGAGACATCTCCCTTCTGCCTGTGGATGACACCTGAGGAGATGGAAAGCTAGTGCCTGCAAGAGAATGGAGGGTGAAGAAGGTTTACTCCTGTGCTGGGCCAGCGGCAGATCGCTGTTGGTGTTTCCCTGTACTTCTGAAGTGGTCAGTCCCACAAGAGGGTGACAAACCCTCCCTTGCAGTCAACGAGTGAAAAGGAATCCCAGAAGCGACATGTCACTCCCTCAGCGACTTCACCTGAGCCTGTCCCGTGGAAAGCCTTCCTCTACCAACTCCAGCAATTACCTGGGCTAGGGTAGGACGTGGCTGTCGTCACTGAGGTACACCCTGCTGACCCAACTCACCCCACCCGGGAGGCCATGCCTTCTGCTCTGGACTGGAAGGGCTTCTGCAGAGAACATGCTCAGGGGGGATAGACCTCCATAAGCCTAGCTTCTCTCAGTGCTAACACATCACATCCCAGAGCTGCCCAAAGATGACCACAAGTAGAGGAATGGGACTCGCTGTACTTACTTTGGCCTTCAAAGAATTTCTTTAGTTCTTGGAAGCTGCGCTTCTCAGTCTCAAGTTCTGGTCAGCAGATGCATATGGAAAAAACAGATAAAAAAGGGAAACTTAACAGATATCTTTCCCTTGTGAAGCACAAGAACATACTGAACAGGTTTTGGGGAAGAATGTATCATGCAGATGACCCAAGCAACTTGAGGTCCTATAAACCAAGAACCTGACAGCAGTGCTGTGGGGCTTTTTGATCACCGTGTCCTGCCGCGGAGCCCCACTGCAGGTCTCCTGTGCCAATGAGCTGCCTGAGCTGCCACAGAGGTCATGGGCAGCAGCACGTGGTCTTTCCCAGGGAGACTGCAGGGGCCTCACTGTGGCCCTTCCCCTCCTGCCACCCCACATTGGGATGCTTCTGCTCCCTCACATCTCCTCCCAGAACCTCCCAGGACAGCTCTCCAACATGCCCTAGAGGTTTCTGAAGAATCCAAGTGCATTCCTGAGGATTGGCCTGCGATTTGGGGTTTTGCCTTTGTCACCAAATGGCAGAGCTCTTCTGGGTGGGAAAGAGCTTGGGAGGTGTCTGGTGAGTCTCCTGCTGAAAGCAGACTCTACCTTGAGGTCACAGCAGATGGCTCAGACCTTCCCCAACGGGGGTCCTGAACCCTTGCGAGGCTGGAGAGGTCAGCTTTGTATCTCCCAGCTCTGCTGCAGAGCAGAAAATCCACAGCCAGGTGGGAGCTGCACCTGTTGGAACCTCCACTGCTGATGGAAGGACAATGAGGAGAACTCCAACACAGTCAGAAGGGGATTGGTGCGTAAGTGTGTGTGGTGGTGGTGGTGATAGCTCTTGATTCCAACTATAGCTTGTGTTGTGAAGAGAAAAACAATGGTCAGGCAGAACATTGGGCGCAGGTTATGAGTTGCTTCTTCAACTGAAAAGAAGGTTGTGCAGAGGAGGCATGTAGGCCTGAGATCAGGAGAAGGAGTAACATAGGGAGGAGGAGCCAGCATTCCTGAGAGAGGTATGCTGTCACCACCACTTACCTGGTAGCAGTGTTTCTTGTTCTCCTTCCCCTTTGCTCTGCTGTGACCTGTGTTCCTGAACTCGCCCAAGGGAATCTGCTCCTCGTCCCTGCTGCAAGGGTTGCTCTACCACCTGGGTGGAGCCTGTAGAAAGAAGCCAGGAAACCAAGGAAACCTCTTATCTCTAACTGGGAGGACCTCACACCCAGGTGGTAAATGTCAGTGCAGTGCAAAAAGAACTCCCTCTCTTCCAGGGAAAGGCACAGCCATAGGAGAGAGCCCAGGGCATGGTCATCACAAGCCTTCCCCAAGGGAAGAGCATGCTCCTGCAAGCGGGTCACTAAAAAAGAAGAGCTGCAGGAGAAGGTCTGGCCTTACATCCTGGGCAGGATGGGATTCAGCACCATCCAGCCTGTCCCACTCTGCTGTGGGTCAGACCACCACCTGGCCTAGCACACTGCTCCTCCAGGCATCCTTCTTCTCGTCACCATGTGCACCAGGACATCTGCATGGGAATGCCAGCAAGAACAAAACACTTGCTGTAGGCCGTTGGAAGGGCAGTCTGTGGGGTGGTGAAAGTGCCAGATGCAAGAAAGGTCAAAATGCCACCAGGAGCCTCTGCCAAAGTTACCCATACCAGGGTCTTGGGGGGTGTGTCGATGTCCACAGATGCCTGACCCCCAGCCCTATCTGACACAGCTTCAGGAGCTACACCTCTTCCTTCCCTTGGATGTTCATGGTGGTCTTTCCATCAGCCCTAGTCAGCCCTCATGGGACCTCTCTGGATGCAGGCCCATTCCTGACACATGCACAGATGAAGCCGAATGCACAAAGCTCGAGAGAGGCAAGTCGTGTGAGCTCAGGAAAGCCACCAGGGAACGCTTAGTCCTGCCATTCTAAGAGCAACAGTTTCAGGGTGCTGTGGTGGCCCCTTAGGCATAAAACACCAGCCCAGGTTCTCCATGCTTGGCAGGGCCTCCCTCAAGCTTCCATCCCACAAGGAAAACCAAGTGCACAAAGGCAGCCCAGAGCGGGGCTGAGGACGCCAGCACCCTCCGTGACTACAGAGCTAGAACAATTGGCAGTGAGTAGAGGAGATGGGACCCGTATCCAACTAAGGCCACACAGGCGGGAGTCTATGGTGAAACCCTTTAGAAGATGGGAGGCACCACTCTCAGTCCTGGGAGAAAAGTTCAGCATGGGCAACGAGCACCCCTGGAGCGTGAGACCGCAAGATGCCGAGGAATGAACCCTCCTCTTTCACCACAAGAAAAGTCTACTGATCCCACCCTCCTCCCTTCCTTCTCCTGCAGAGAGCATGGTCAATCCAGCCTCTCACCTGTACGGGGAGACATCTCCCTTCTGCCTCTGGATGACACCTGAGGAGCACAGAATCACCGAATCTTAGTGGTTGGAAGGGACCTCTGAGATCATCGAGTCCAACCACAAAAAAAAAAAAAAAAAAAAAAAAAAAAAGACAAAAAAAACAACCCAAAACAACACCCCACACCACACCAAATGCCCACCAAAAACACCGCACCCACCAACTAAACCCCACACTCAACACCTCACCATAAATCAATAACCTTGGGCACTAGGGCATGCCCTGAAGAGCCATGTCTACACGTTTCTTAAATACCTCCAGGGATGGTGACTCACCACCTCCCTGGGCAGGCTGTTCCAGTGCCTGACCACTCTCTCAGTAAAGTAGTTCTTTCTAATATCTAATCTAAATCTCCCTTGCCGAAACTTCAGACCATTTCCTCTGGTCTTGTCGTTCGTCCTTTGGGAGAAGAGGCCAACACCTGCCTCTCTAATCCTCCTTTCAGGTAGTTGTAGAGGGCAATGAAGTCACCCCTCAGCCTCCTCTTCTCCAAACTAAACATGCCCAGTTCCCTCAGCACACAAGCCTTCCCCAAGGGAAGAGCACGCTCCTGCAATCGGGTCACCAAAAGAAAAGAGCTGCAGGCGAAGAGCTGGCCTTACATCCTGGGCAGGATAGGATTCAGCACCATCCAGCCTGTCCCACTATGCTGTGGGTCAGACCACCACCTGGCCTAGCATACTCCTCCTCCAGGCATCCTTCTTCTAGTGTGCACCATGTGCACCAGGACATCTGCATGGGAATGCCAGCAAGAACAAAACACTTGCTGTAGGCCGTTGGAAGGGCAGTCTGTGGGGTGGTGAAAGTGCCAGATGCAAGAAAGGTCAAAATGCCACCAGGAGCCTCTGCCAAAGTTACCCATACCAGGGTCTGGGGGGGGGTGTGTCAATGTCCAGAGATTCCTGACCCCCAGCCCTATCTGACACAGCTTCAGGAGCTACACCTCTTCCTTCCCTTGGATGTTCATGGTGGTCTTTCCATCAGCACTAGTCAGCCCTCATGGGACCTCTCTGGATGCAGGCCCATTCCTGACACATGCACAGATGAAGCCGAATGCACAAAGCTCGAGAGAGGCAAGTCGTGTGAGCTCGGGAAAATCACCAGGGAACGCTTAGTCCTGCCACGCCAAGAGCAACAGTTTCATGGTGCTGTGGTGGCCCCTTAGGCATTAAAACCACCTCAGGTGGCCCCAGCAGGGCCTCCCTCAAGCTTCCATCCCACAAGGAAAACCAAGTGCACAAAGGCAGCCCAGAGCGGGGCTGAGGACGCCAGCACCCTCCGTGACCACAGAGCTAGAACCATTGGCAGTGACTAGAGGAGATGGGACCCGTATCCAACTAAGGCCACACAGGCGGGAGTCTATGGTGAACCCCTTTAGAAGATGGGAGGCACCACTCTCAGTCCTGGGAGAAAAGTTCAGCATGGGCAACGAGCACCCCTGGAGCGTGAGACCGCAAGATGCCGAGGAATGAACCCTCCTCTTTCACCACAAGAAAAGTCTACTGATCCCACCCTCCTCCCTTCCTTCTCCTGCAGAGAGCATGGTCAATCCAGCCTCTCACCTGTACGGGGAGACATCTCCCTTCTGCCTCTGGATGACACCTGAGGAGGTGGAAAGCTACTTCCTGCAAGAGAATTGAGGGTGAAGAAGGTTTACTCCTGTGCTGGGCCAGCGGCAGATCGCTGTTGGTGTTTCTCTGTACTTCTGAAGTGGTCAGTCCCACAAGAGGGTGACAAACCCTCCCTTGCAGTCAACGAGTGAAAAGGAATCCCAGAAGCGACATGTCAATCCCTCAGTGACTTCACCTGAGCCTGTCCCGTGGAAAGCCTTCCTCTACCAACTCCAGCAATTACCTGGGCTAGGGTAGGACGTGGCTGTCGTCACTGAGGTACACCCTGCTGACCCAACTCACCCCACCCGGGAGGCCATGCCTTCTGCTCTGGACTGGAAGGGCTTCTGCAGAGAACATGCTCAGGGGGGATAGACCTCCATAAGCCTAGCTTCTCTCAGTACTAACACATCACATCCCAGAGCTGCCCGAGGATGACCACAGGTAGAAGAATGGGACTCACTGCACTTACTTTGGCCTTCAAAGCGTTTCTTTCGTTCTTGGATGCTGCGCTTCTCAGTCTCAGGTTCTGGTCAGTAGATGCATATGGAAAAAAACAGATAAAAAAGGGAAACTTAACAGATATCTTTCCCTCGTGAAGCACAAGAACATACTGAACAGGTTTTGGGGAAGAATGTATCATGCAGATGACCCAAGCAACTTGAGGTCCTATAAACCAAGAACCTGACAGCAGTGCTATTTTGGGGCTTCTTGATCACCGTGTCCTGCCGCGGAGCCCCAGTGCAGGCCTCCTGTGCCAATGAGCCGCCTGAGCTGCCACAGAGGTCATGGGCAGCAGCACATGATCTTTCCCAGCGAGACTGCAGGGGCCTCACTGTGGCCCTTCCCCTCCTGCCACCCCACATTGGGATGCTTCTGCTCCCTCACATCTCCTCCCAGAACCTACCAGGACTATCTCCTGCATGCCCTGGAGGTTTCTGAAGAAGCCAAGTGCATTCTTGAGGCTTGGCCTGCAATTTGGGGTTTTGTCTTTGTCACCAAATGGCAGAGCTCTTCTGGGCGGGAAAGAGCTTGGGATGTGTCTGGTGAGTCTCTTGCTGAAAGCAGACTCTACCTTGAGTTCACAACACAGGGCTCAGGCCTTCCCCACCGGGGGTCCTGACCCCTTCCGAGGCTGGAGAGGTCAGCTTTGTATCTCGCTCTGTTGCAGAGCACAAAATCCACAGCCAGGTGAGAGCTGCACCTGTTGGAACCTCCACTGCTGATGGAAGGACAAGGAGGAGAACTCCAACACAGTCAGAAGGGGATTGGTGCCTAAGTGTGTATGGTGGTGGTGATAGCTCTTGATTCCAACTATAGCTTGTGTTGTGAAGAGAAAAACAATGGTCAGGCAGAACTGTGGGTGCAGGTTATGAGTTGCTTCTTCGACTGAAAAGAAGGTTGTGCAGAGGAGGCATGTAGGCCTGAGATCAGGAGAAGGAGTAACATAGGGAGGAGGAGCCAGCATTCCTGTGACACGTTTTCTGTCAAGACCTCTTACCTATTACCAGTCTTTCTCGGTCTCCTTCCCCTTTGCTCTGCTGTGACCAGTGTTCCTGAACTTGCCCAAGGGAGTCTGCTCCTCCTTGCTGCTTCAAGGGTTGCTCTACCACCTGGGTTGAGCCTGTAGAAAGAAGAGAGAAAACCAAGGAAACCTCTTATCTTTAACTAGGAGGATCTCACACCCAGGTGGTCAATGTCAGTGCAGTGCAAAAAAACTCCCTCTCTTCCAGGAAAAGGCACAGCCATAGGAGAGAGCCCAGGACATGGTCATCAGAAGCCTTCCCCAAGGGAAGAGCATGCTCCTGCAAGAGGGACACCAAAAAAAAAGAGATGCAGGTGAAGAGCTAGCCTTACATCCCGGGCAGGATGGGATTCAGCACCATCCAGCCTGTCCCACTCTGCTGATGGTCAGCCCACCACCTGGCCTAGCATACTGCTCCTCCAGGCATCCTTCTTCTAGTGTGCACCATGTGCACCGGGACATCTGCATGGGAATGCCAGCAAGAACGGCCTTGCTGTAGGCCGTTGGAAGGGCAGTCTGTGGGGTGGTGAAAGTGCCAGATGCAAGAAAGGTCAAAATGCCACCAGGAGCCTCTGCCAAAGTTACCCATACCAGGGTCTTGGGGGGTGTGTCGATGTCCACAGATGCCTGACCCCCAGCCCTATCTGACACAGCTTCAGGAGCTACACCTCTTCCTTCCTTTCTTCGGTGGTCCTTCAGTAAGCATTAGTCAGCCCTCATGGGACCTCTCTGGATGCAGGCCCATTCCTGACACATGCACAGATGAAGCCGAATGCACAAAGCTCGAGAGAGGCAAGTCCTGTGAGCTCGGGAAAGCCACCAGGGAACTCTTAGTCCTGCCACGCCAAGAGCAACAGTTTCATGGTGCTGTGGTGGCCCCTTAGGCATTAAAACCACCTCAGGTGGCCCCAGCAGGGCCTCCCTCAAGCTTCCACCCTACAGAGAAAACCAAGTGCACAGAGGCAGCCCAGAGCGGGGCTGAGGACGCCAGCACCCTCCGTGACTACAGAGCTAGAACAATTGGCAGTGAGTAGAGGAGATGGGACCCGTATCCAACTAAGGCCACACAGGCGGGAGTCTATGGTGAACCCCTTTAGAAGATGGGAGGCACCACTCTCAGTCCTGGGAGAAAAGTTCAGCATGGGCAACGAGCACCCCTGGAGCGTGAGACCGCAAGATGCCGAGGAATGAACCCTCCTCTTTCACCACAAGAAAAGTCTACTGATCCCACCCTCCTCCCTTCCTTCTCCTGCAGAGAGCATGGTCAATCCAGCCTCTCACCTGTACGGGGAGACATCTCCCTTCTGCCTCTGGATGACACCTGAGGAGGTGGAAAGCTACTTCCTGCAAGAGAATTGAGGGTGAAGAAGGTTTACTCCTGTGCTGGGCCAGCGGCAGATCGCTGTTGGTGTTTCTCTGTACTTCTGAAGTGGTCAGTCCCACAAGAGGGTGACAAACCCTCCCTTGCAGTCAACGAGTGAAAAGGAATCCCAGAAGCGACATGTCAATCCCTCAGTGACTTCACCTGAGCCTGTCCCGTGGAAAGCCTTCCTCTACCAACTCCAGCAATTACCTGGGCTAGGGTAGGACGTGGCTGTCGTCACTGAGGTACACCCTGCTGACCCAACTCACCCCACCCGGGAGGCCATGCCTTCTGCTCTGGACTGGAAGGGCTTCTGCAGAGAACATGCTCAGGGGGGATAGACCTCCATAAGCCTAGCTTCTCTCAGTACTAACACATCACATCCCAGAGCTGCCCGAGGATGACCACAGGTAGAAGAATGGGACTCACTGCACTTACTTTGGCCTTCAAAGCGTTTCTTTCGTTCTTGGACGCTGCGCTTCTCAGTCTCAGGTTCTGGTCAGTAGATGCATATGGAAAAAAACAGATAAAAAAGGGAAACTTAACAGATATCTTTCCCTCGTGAAGCACAAGAACATACTGAACAGGTTTTGGGGAAGAATGTATCATGCAGATGACCCAAGCAACTTGAGGTCCTATAAACCAAGAACCTGACAGCAGTGCTATTTTGGGGCTTCTTGATCACCGTGTCCTGCCGCGGAGCCCCAGTGCAGGCCTCCTGTGCCAATGAGCCGCCTGAGCTGCCACAGAGGTCATGGGCAGCAGCACATGATCTTTCCCAGCGAGACTGCAGGGGCCTCACTGTGGCCCTTCCCCTCCTGCCACCCCACATTGGGATGCTTCTGCTCCCTCACATCTCCTCCCAGAACCTCCCAGGACAGAATCTGCTCCTCGTCCCTGCTGCAGGGAATGCTCTTCTCCATGCATGGGGCGTGTAGAAAGAAAACCAAGGAAACCTCTTATCTCTAACTAGGAGGATCTCACAACCGGGTGGTCAATGTCAGTGCAGTGGCAAAAAAACTCTGTCTCTTCCAGGAAAAGGCATGGCGTTAGGAAAGAGCCCAGGACATGGTCATCACAAGCCTTCCCCAAGGGAAGAGCATGCTCCTGCAAGCAGGATACCAAAAAAAAAGAGCTGCAGGCGAAGAGCTGACCTTACATCCCGGGCAGGATGGGATTCAGCACCATCCAGCCTGTCCCACTCTGCTGATGGTCAGCCTACCACCTGGCCTAGCATACTGCTCCTCCAGGCATCCTTCTTCTAGTGTGCACCATGTGCACCAGGACATCTGCATGGGAATGCCAGCAAGAACAAAACACTTGCTGTAGGCCGTTGGAAGGGCAGTCTGTGGGGTGGTGAAAGTGCCAGATGCAAGAAAGGTCAAAATGCCACCAGGAGCCTCTGCCAAAGTTACCCATACCAGGGTCTGGGGTGGGTGTGCCAATGTCCAGAGATGTCAGAAGGGGATTCGTGTGGCTGACCCCCACCCACCAGCTGACACAGCTTCATGAGCTACAGCTCTTCCTTCCCTTGGGTGTTCATGGTGATCCTTTCCTTGGGCACTAATCAGCTCTTATGTCATGGTCAGCACAGGCTCTCACCTGCATGGCCAGGAATATCCCTTCCACCTGTGGATGACTGCTGAGGAGATGAAATGCTCCTTCCTGCAAAGGAATGGTGAAGAAGATTCTTTTGCTGGTCCAGAGGCACTGCCCCCCAGAGGCTTTGCCCCACTTGTCAGATGGTAGTCCAACAAAGGGTGAGAAAGAGAGTGTGACTGCCCTTGCAGTCAAATGTGAAAGGAATCCCAGAACAGATGTGCGAATCCCACTTCATCTTCACTCAAGCCTGTTTTGCAAAGCCTTCTTCTACCAAGACTCTTCTGGAGTAGGCCTTGCCTCTTATCAAAGAGATTGAGAGGGATAGACCTTCACAGGCTCCTTTCCCTCCACAGAGATACTTGGAATCCCAGAAGATCCCAAGGATGATCACAGGCAGGACAAATGGTATCCAGGACACTTACCTGAAGCCTCATATATGTTTGCTACTTTTCACATGAAAAAGAAAAAGCGAGAGAAAAAGAGGAAACTTCACTAAGCCCTTTCCCTAAAGAACGACAAGAATCCATTGAACAGATTTTTGGAGGAACACATCCCTCTTATCCCATTCAGCCCTTTCAGGGAATCAGGGTTTTCCAGTGGGTCATTTGCCCCTCCATCCCTGTCTAAAGAGAAGAAATGTGGTTCTTACCAGGTTCCCCTGACATCTTCTCGTGCCTTCTGTTCTCCTGTTTCCTTTTCTCTGGATTCATTCTATAATGCAGGGAAAAAAGTAGCCATAGTTACGTGGTGGGCACAGGGCTAGAGAGCAGAAGGCAGAGTTGGTAAGATGTTCTGAGCACTCCCAGCTGGTCACTCTCCCACCTCGGGTGCAGCTGAGAATTCTCACAGCCAGGCACAGAGTTTCCTTGGTGACGATAGCACACGTGTCTGCAGAGCACAGAATGTGCTGGATACCAGCTACTGTTTTCCAGAGAGGCAGAGGATTGGGACTGTTGTCCACGTGCACATTCCTTCAGAGTAACTCCAGTCCTGGAGGTTACCATGAGCAGGAAATAGAGAAAAGATGGTGGTAGGCTGAGGACATTTGCTGTTTGCACGATGGCCACCCAGCTGCTCTCTCACTGCCCCCCTCCTCCAAGAATGGACAGGGGGGGAAAATAAGACAGAAAAGCTCCTGGGTTGACATAAAGTCTGGGAGATCACTTACCAGTTGCCATCACGGTTAAAACAGGTTTGATGTGGGGAAATTTAATTTATTGCTAATATCAAATAGAGTAGCATGGTGAGAAATAAAGACAAAACTAAAAGCACTTTCCCCCCACCCTCCCCTTCTTCCAAGGCTCAGCTTCACTGTTCCATTCCTGACTCTTATGCCTCCTCACGGGAGAGAAGATGTAAGAGCCTGTGGAAGGGGAGTTGTGATCATTCCATAACGTGTTGCCTCTACTCCTCGTTCCTCGGAGAGGAGAGGAGAGGAGAGGAGAAAATAAGTCAATACCAGTTGCCATCACGGTTAAAACAGGTTTGATGTGGGGAAATTTAATTTATTGCTAATATCAAATAGAGTAGCATGGTGAGAAATAAAGACAAAACTAAAAGTACTTTCTCCCCACCATCCCCTTCTTCCAAGGCTCAGCTTCACTGTTCCATTCCTGACTCTTATGCCTCCTCACGGGAGAGAAGATGTAAGAGCCTGTGGAAGGGGAGTTGTGATCATTCCATAACGTGTTGCCTCTACTCCTCGTTCCTCCTTACAGTTTCCCCCTGCTCCAGCGTGGGGTCCCTCCCACAGGAGTCAGCTCCTTCTGGAACCCCTCCAACCTGGGTCTGCTCAGCTTTGGCCAGCGGTGGGTCTGGTTTGGAGCTGGCAGGACCTGGCTGTGTCTGACATGGGAGAGCCTCTTCTCATAGAGGCCACCCCTATAACACCATCCCCACCAAAACCTTGCCACATAAACCCCATAGAGCAGTACTGTGTGACAACCTGGACAGGCAAAGCAGAAAGGCATCTGCAGGTGGAGATTCAGAGCACAAAGCTGGGGAAGTGTTCTGGAGGGTGTGCTGACTGACCAGGGACTATTGTCCCAAAGCTATGATAAGCCCTTGTGAAAATCATCTCTGAGTTCTGCAGGGAAACCAAAAGGCATTTTAAAGCATAAGGAAAAAAAAAAAAAAAAAAAAAGAAAGGGCAGAGCAGGGCTGGGAAGGGCAAAGCAGAGCAAAGGGCAGAAGGCCCTCCACTGGACCCGTTCCAACAGGTCCATGTCCTTCCTGTGTTGAGGACTCCAAAGCTGGACACAGCACTCCAGGTGGGGTGTCACCAAAGCAGAGGAGAGAGAGAAGAGGAGAGGAGAGGAGAGGAGAGGAGAGGAGAAAATAAGTCAATTCTACACCCAGCACATCTTCAAAGTCATACTGGGAAGCACAGCCAGATCTATACACAAAAATCAACAGAAAAATCCTTGCAGAAACAAGAATTGAACCCAAATGGATTGTTGATAGTGACACTTTTTCCCCCAGAGGACCATTCTCTCTCTCTCTTTTCCTCTCTGACCCCTGCCAGGAACAGCCATGCTGCTGATGCTGCTCCAGCGTGGGGTCCCTCCCACAGGAGTCAGCTCCTTCTGGAACCCCTCCAACCTGGGTCTGCTCAGCTTTGGCCAGCGCCCCTGTGTGCACAGCTTGGATGAAGGGAACAGGGGCTCCCTTCCACCCCAACAGCAGCACGGCACTCACGGCTTGTTCAGAAGCAAAGTAATTAAAAGAGACCTGCTTACCTGTCTTAATGAACGAAGGTGAACAATGATGTGGAACAGCTACTCTTTTCCTCCTTGACAGAGAAACTTCACTTCCACCTGCAGAAGGGAAGGACAATGGAAAGAAGAGTCAGGTACTGAAGTTTAAATCCAGCGTTTCTCTGCCCGACAGTCACTTCTCTGCCTGAAGTTCCTGTCTCATCATCCGTATGAGGGATACATTTTCTGTTGAAGGTGATTAGTTTCAAATGCAGCTTTGGTGTTATGGAGAGGTTTAGGACAAGCACATGACATGCTGAATGCTCACTCCTTAGCAGAAAAAGTGAACCGTTGGCAAAGCAGAAAGGCATCTGCAGGTGGAGATTCAGAGCACAAAGCTGGGGAAGTGTTCTGGAGGGTGTGCTGACTGACCAGGGACTATTGTCCCAAAGCTATGATAAGCCCTTGTGAAAATCATCTCTGAGTGATGTGGAACAGCTACTCTTTTCCTCCTTGACAGAGAAACTTCACTTCCACCTGCAGAAGGGAAGGACAATGGAAAGAAGAGTCAGGTACTGAAGTTTAAATCCAGCGTTTCTCTGCCCGACAGTCACTTCTCTGCCTGAAGTTCCTGTCTCATCATCCGTATGAGGGATACATTTTCTGTTGAAGGTGATTAGTTTCAAATGCAGCTTTGGTGTTATGGAGAGGTTTAGGACAAGCACATGACATGCTGAATGCTCACTCCTTAGCAGAAAAAGTGAACCGTTTTTCAGAATTAATGCTGGATTTTACCTGTTGTCAGGTAAAAAGATCTCCACGTCTTCAGTCTGTGGATCAAAGATGAACTTTGGGATTACCTTTGAACAGTGAAATTGATATGAAGAATGAAATATTAAAGATTAACTCAGGGTGTGTCCTTCCTGAAAATCACACATCATTTTGCTGTATGCCTGATGCTTTGCTGTCAGGTTACATAGAGAATGAG